CTACCCCTTCAGAGGGATGGTTCCGGCACTCCGGAGGGCAGCGGGGGTCCTTCCCACAGCCATGCTCTGTAGCGGCGCACTGTCCGTCTCCCCATGGCCAGCTGTGGAAAGGAAGGTCTACCATTCCATCCTGCCCGCCACTGCAGCGGTTGAATTAAATAAGCACCAAAGATAATAGGTATTTGAACAAGTTTAATAACAAAACCAGACTCACGAAACCAAGGTTCCAGCTGAGTAGCCGGCAGAGCCAGGAGAGGGAGGGAAGGCGTGCGCAGCCTCTGCCCGCCCAATATATCAGTAAACATACGCCCGAGGGCAGCCCGCCCCCAAGGGGAGGGCTTATCCCTACACGCCACTGTGCAGAAATCCTCCAAGCACGTCAGCGGCTGGAGCATCTTTGCTCTCAGCTCGGATGCAGCTTTCATAGAACAACTTCTGCACCATGTGGGGGTGGGGTTAAGCCTTCGTGTATCTAGATCCCAGGGCCTGAAACCCTGTCTTTAAATCCTTCACAGACAACTGATTCTAAACCTTCCATGGCCCTTAGTCCTGGAGGGGTCCATGGAGCCGCATGCCCACTCTCAGTGAGAAGCATCCTTACCCAAAGTCAGAACAAAGAGAAAGCCTCCCACCTCCTTGACTGAGCCTGCTCAAATGGGAGGCATCCCTGCCTCTACCCTGTCTGTACTACCTGCAGCTGCTGCAGGTCAGCCGTGGGGTCAGGCAGCAGCCCTGCCTCTACCCTGTCTGTACTGCCTGCACCTGCTGCAGGGCAACAGTGGGGTCAGGCAGCAGCCCTCCCTGACCTGTCCTCAGCCCTGGGTGCCCCCACTCATTCTGCCTGCTTAGAGACCCCATAGCGCAGGTACCATAATACGCGATATGAATAACTGAGATATCTTTCCTATAAGCAAGCCTGGTGGCTCATACTTATAATCCTAGCATCCAGGAAGCTGAAGCTGGACTCTGGCGAGTTTGAGGCAAGCCTGGACTACAGACTAACAGGACGACCAGGGCTACAGTCTCTGAGCGAGTCTTGAGTACACAAAACAGTGTCTGTGTTTATACAGATATATGTGTTTGTGACTGGTCATACATGCTGCAGCATGTACCAGTGCATTGCTCACTGCCAAGCAGAGGTTCGCTGTGTAATTTACACACACGTATTTATCCGTCGACCAGCAACGTGCCCACATTTCTACATTTGCTCCCGTGTTTAACCATTGTGAAGACTTATTTACAACTTTTAGTATACATTTCCAACTTTCTTGGGTCCTGGTGCATACATGAGCCATGTGTCCCCTCTCCCCGCCCCCTCACAGCAGGTATCCAAGGGCTTTTTTCCCAGGAACCAGCCAACACCCCATCCACACCCTCCATGTCGTTACTAAGTTCCTATTCCAACGCGTTCTGACCTGGGGACAGGCCACTTGCCAGGATAAAGAAGGGATCTGTTGAGAAAGTAGGTGGCAGTGGCAGGCTGTCCCAGCAGCTGCAGAAGGTACCCAAGCCTCTGGACCTCCCTGGGCTTTCCCTGTCGCCCTCCTCTTCACCCCCATCACCCCTGACTCCAGCAGAAGTTAGGGGTCCTTCCTGATGCATCTCCCCAGCTGACCTGAAGGGCTCTGAGGGCAGAATGTGGGCTTAGCTGGGGGTGCCAAAGTGACATTCCTGCCAAATAGTACTTCATGTGCACCTCTACTGAAGAGATGGTGCCCACCCTTCAGAAATCAGGAATTTGGGGAAGGTCTTAGTTAGGGTCACTATTGCTGTGATGAAACCACAGTCCACTAAAGGAAGTCAGGGCAGGAACTCACACAGGGCAAGAACCTGGAGGCAGGAGCTGATGCCGAGGCCATGGAGGGATGCTGCTTACTGGCTTGCTCCCCATGGCTTGCTCAGCCTGCTTTCTCATAGAAACCAGGACCACCAGCCCAGGGATGGCACCACTCCCCATGAGCTGGACCCTCCCCCATCAGCCACTAATTAAGAAAATGTCCCACACGCTTGCCTACAGCCTGCTTACCTGGAGACATTTTCTTAATCAAGGATTTCTCCTCTTTAATGGCTCTAGCCTGTGTCAAATTAACATAGAACTACCCAGCACAGGGATGGTGGGAATGAGTATTCTTCAGTTTTATACCTCCTCCAAAAAATGTATTTTTCTGTCCTTTTATAGGTCTCTTGATAGAGCCTTGGCTGGCTTCAACTCCACAACCCTGCCCCTGCCTCTAGGGTATTGTGATTAAAGGCATGGGCCACCACATCAGGTTGGAATTTAAGATCTTTTAGAGTAGAATTATTCCTGGTGCCTACAAGTGTTCTCTCCTGAGAACTCAGGGGTCAATGTGAAGCTCTTGTCTTTCCCTTTGCTGTCTGGAAGCGAGAAGAACATATGTCCACCTCACTGTGCGCTCGCCTAGAACTTCCGTCAAGTCCTTTGCGCCTAGGCTTCCTGACGTTTTTTTAACATGACTAGACTCTACTCCTTACCGCAGGTCAATATATTTGGTTTAGGATTCGTTACCCCTCTCCACAGAAAACAAAACACACAAAAAACCAAAGTGGGACTTGTCATTGTGTCTGACTTAAGTCTAAGCAAATGCTCCCCCTATAAAATGGAGGTCTGCGTATCTACAGTAAAACTGAAAATGAAACAAAGAAAGGGCTTGGAGTGCTTCCCTGGGCTTTCCCCTTCCCGCAGGCCCAGTTGGCCAGTCTCCAAAACACCATTCCCAAAGGCAGCTTGGGAGGGAGGGCATATCAGCTTACCTGTCCATCACAGTCCATCCCTGAGCCGTCAGGACAGGAGCCGGGAGGCAGGAACTTAGTCGGAAGCCATGGCGGAATGCTGCTTACTGGCTTGCTCAACCTTTCTGGTCTTTCTTCGCTGCGAGCCTTGCTCGCCCTCTGTGACTGAATCAGCTCTCCAGCCTTCAGCCTGCTGTCTTATGCATTTCCGGTGCTAGTCCCGCCCATGTCAATCACTAATCAAGAAAATGCCCCACAGACTTGCTTATGGCTCTCTCTTCTCAGGTGACTAGCTTGAGGCAGGATGACAGAAACCTAACCTGGACAATAAGATATGTCAAGACACAGTGATAACTCTGGAAATAACTACGCTTTTCAGTTTTCTAATTAGTAAAGACGCAGCACATTCCCTTATTATCATGGCTTCTAGGGCCAAGCCACTGCGAAGACTCCGTCTGCGTGCTGAATCCTGCGCTTCCTTTCCTGTGCCGTAAAGGTGGCGCCTAAGCGATATCTCGCTATAGCGTCTCCTTCCTCTCTCCGAGTCTTCTGTGAGTTCCAAGCTTTTGGATCCCAGAAGGGACGATTAACACGTATCTAATTTTCACTCTTTCCCTTTACCGCCCCCCCAACACACACACAGTTGTGAGAAACAGCAATCCAACGCTGTGTCTCCCCTACCCCGACTTTCTTGCTAATTCAGAGGCTCACGGAGACCAGCGTCTTCAGAGGTTTCTCCTTTTAGTTTCTCCCCAATGGAAGCAACATTGGAAGCAACATTTTTCATAAAAGCCCCGCGTTGGGAATAATACAAGTGCTTCTCAAGTGGCAAATGGGTTATCCAAACTCAATATGCATGAAAAGCAGTAATACACGCAAAAATGCTATGCCTGATACAAAACACAGCGCACCATGGTTCCATTAATACACAACGCCCACAAAAGGCAAATGAAACAGGTTAGTGGATCAGGGGCAACACAGCTGGGCATCAGCAAAGGAATTAACTGCAAATGGAACACCAGGAACTTCTGGGAAGAACAAGGACACGGTTTCTAACCACATTTAGTGATGGTTGAGTAAGTTTGGGTATGTAAATTAACTGCTCTGGTTGTTTGGAGGCAAGTTCTTCTTAAGGTCAAAGCTGCTGTGGCAATCACCACATAGCTGAGGCTGACCTTCAACTCTTGATTCTCCTGCCTCTGTCTCCCTAGTGCTGGGAGAGCAGGCATGCATTGTCATGTACAACCTGGACCCAGAGAAAAGGAGACTCGGGGGTTACGGACAGCCCAAAGCCCACAGATTCAGAAGGGGATTTGGAAGGGGAGCGATTTGGAGCTCTGTCCTTCCACTAAAGGGGACAAAGTGGCTTTCCATTCTCCCAATTACTCAGACGGCATGTCCGACTCCAGGATTTTCTCTGTGGACAAGGCCTTCATCAGCCATACCCCTCTACGCTTTAGGACACTGGACCGACTCTCCCTGCAGCTTCCGGAGAACACTGTGCTATTGACACAAATGTGCCTGCCGCTACTCTTCACTGAGTGACCCGGATGTGCCGATGATTCTGCAAAGTACAACCCACCTGTACGTGAAGACACCAGGCTGTCAGGATGGCTGCTGGTTTAGGGGAAAATGTCTAGACCTGACGGCCTTTATGCTTGATCTTAGCCAAAAGGCCGAGAAGCGATCTGACTGCCTTTACAGAACTTCACAGGCTCCCCAAAACATAGGCCCTTTCTCCACAGAGCTTCCAAAGGACTGGAGCCTCTCAACGGAGCTCAGGTGGTACCCATCTCCCATGAGCCTGGGGTTTGCACCTGCAGCCACTCTTTTCGTCCCCCATCCAAGCTAAGTTCCAGTGTAGTTTCCAGAAGGACGCCCTGGGCTACACGGATTAGTGGGGGCATTCCAGGTTTGCTCAAGGGAAGGGGAGCCAGCCTACCATTCAAGAAGCACTTAGTCCTACCAGAAAAGCCACAGCCAAAGCAGCTGGTCTTTGGCTCAGCCCTCCCAACCCACCCTTTCCCACTGGCTATGGGCAGCAGTGGGCACAGGCACAATTACTAACGGGTTCCTCTCATGTGTCTCATCAGCAGGGGACAATGAAGCTCACCTTAGCAGTATATAAAATGACACTAGGGGACAAGGGATGGGGCTGTCCAAAAACGAGTGAGAACAGGGCAGGCGGGTCACTTTTCAGATGCTTAAGGAATGCTTCTCCAATGAGAAAACGCACAGGAAAGCCAAAATATCATCCATTTTTTATTATTGTTTTTCTATCTCAGTTTCAGTAAAAAGATTCAGAGAACTGATTGACAACATATCATAAAGTTTCACCCATGTACAGCTTATATACAGTGTTGCTACCATTTCCTTTTCTGTGAACGAGGCGTCACTACCTGTGTCCAAACCAAAGTGCGAGTGAGGAGAGAAGGCTAAGTGAGAGGGGGCGGTCTGTGTGCGCCACCACAAGGAGAAGCCAAACAATGGGTACCAAACAGCAGGTTCCCAGCATTGTGGAAGGCGTCCCCAGCTCTCATTTGTCCCTTACATTCTGCAGCAGCTGAAGCCTCTTCTAGTGCAAATAGAACGCTGACTGGAGTCTGGCTCTGCCTGTGATTGCTAAAATATGGTCCATTTTAATATACATGCTATAAAAGTATACTAGAAGTGTCAATCTTCAGAGCTTTCTTAAGATCGGGAACCTTTTTTTTACATGGCATAATGAACACAATCTAAAAGCTTATTTGAAACAAGCTTTAACTGCAAATGGTCCTAATTTCATCTGTTTAGGAGAATATTGGCTTTTTGTACCTGTGAGTAAGCTATGCTTTCCTAATTCTGTCTTGTAACACCTCACAAGCCCACAGGAATGCGGTGGGCAAGGGGAATCGACGTCGTCCTGAAGCAGCTCAGTGCATCTTCCTATCACAAGGTTTTTGCTGTTTCTCTGGTGCCTGCGACTTTTTATTGTCAACATCTGGAGTGTGAAGTGGGGCAAACAAAAGCAGGGGGCAGGAATCACTTCCCACGTGGCCCGTGGCAGTGCCATGGCTTTCTACAGAGGCAGGACACGATGGAGGCCGGTGCAGCCCCCGGTCTCAAGTCACCTAGTAGAGAGCAGGCCCAACAGTGACGGCCTTCTCCTTTGCAGGACAGCACACTCGGTGCCTAGAGGCGAATCCTCAGAACCCAGGCACATCTACAGTAGGAAGGGAATGTGTGATCACTGAAATTCATTTCTTTTTATATATATATTTTTTAAGATTTATTTATTTACCATGTACACAACATTCTGCCTCTATGTATGCTGGCACGCCAGAGGAGGGTGCCAAACCTCATCACAGATGGTTGTGAGCCACCATGTGGTTGCTGGGAATTGAACTCAGGACCTCTGGAAGAGCAGCCAGTGCTCCCAACCACTGAGCCATCTCTCCAGCCCTGAAATTCATTTCTAATTTAAACAAAATATTTACTCTTTTCATTACCAAAATATCCTTTACAATGTATCTATTTCTCCCCTCTGACACTGAAGTGGAGAGCTGGGCGTTTGCTGAGGGTGACCAACAATGCGCGTTGTTAAGATGGCTGGAGAACACATAGCACACAGCAACAGGAGCTGTGGCCAGGGCTGAGAGGTGTCCTCCAGTCTGGTGACAACGTCCAGCCCACCCAAGGAGGGCATGGCATTCGTGTGCTTTTCTTCTTAGCGGCTATAACCTCTGCTTGGATTTCATGACACGATAGGAAGAAGGGTGATGGCAGGGGCCGGGGTCTTCTTTCCAGGGGAGGTGCGCAGAGAGCAGGAGGCAGCGCCTCACCTTGGCACCTGCCAGGGCTCCGCCCCAGCCCCACCCTCCCCATCCTGGGACTCAGGGAAATGAGTTCCCAGGGAACTAAGATCCACAGGTTACCACTAAGCCACGGGTGACTTAATGCAGCTTTTAAGGTGCCACTGTCTTCGCTGAGGACCCACTTCTGGGTCTCTTGGGGAGTTGGCTATGGTTTTAAAGAGTTTAGTCAGAAGTGGATGCTGACGCCTGCTTTTGGACAAATTAGTAATGGTGCAGGTTTCAGCCTCTAGCCTCCGAATTCTGAAACTACTTAAAATCAGGACGTTTCCACTCAGCAGACTGTTACCTCTCTGATAGTTAGGCAGTCTCACGGAACAGAGTCCAGGAGTGGAAGCCCCTGGGTTCCATCCCCGGTACCGTGAACAAACAAACAAAAAGGAAGAAAAGAAAACAGAAAAAAGTGAACAATCTTTCTTTCTTTTTTAATCTAACTCAGCCCTTCAGAAATACTTGAGTCTCTAAGAGGAGGAAGCCCCAGGACCTGGCTCCCCACGATGCCTGCAGCAAGCCTGGGGCTACAGAGAGGCATTTCCCAATGCAGAGGTCGAAGTTTGTGCAAAAGAGCTCACCACCAGGCACAACCCTAAGAGGGGCTCAACTGTAGTGTTTGACTCTTTAAAACACAAGTCTCCTAAACTGCAGAATCCAGCATGTGAGGGCAAAGAAGTTAACATGGGAAAACATCTTAGAAAAGAGCGGATCTCTCACGGGCAGGCGCCTGCTACACACTCATCAGTTAGACCACGAGTTTGTTAAATATTCACAGTAATTTCAGAGAAAGACATTCACATCTGCAAAACCTGCATCCATCACCTCTTCAGCCCCATGCCTGCTCAGTGCAAGACTTCGGAGCTGTTCTGAGAGCTCCTCCTTGGCAGTCCATCCACTCTGGGAAGCTAGGCCTTCAAGGTGGGCTGCAGGATTCCTTTCTCGATGAGATGTGTCTTCAAGGTTCTGTAGATGTTTAACTGCTGCTCTGGCTGGAGCACCAACAGCTGCTGCAGGACTTTACTGGGATTCGGACCCCTGATGAGGAAGCAGAGAAGACATGTTGGCACCATTTGTACACCGTTTGCACAGGGGGTAAGTGAGCACATGCTACCGAGAACCCATCTGAAGGGCTAAGCAACCACTGCCACAGACCTGCGACTGCTCCCACGTGAGCGCCCAGCACTCGTGTCGAGGGGAGCAACACACCAGGATATCTGAGGCTTGAGACGCAAGAAGAGTGGGCAGGCAGGGAGGGAAGGGCAGGCGCAAACAGAGATCTAAGTTCTACAGAAATTCTCTCAAGGGCAACCTGATGAAGGGCAAATCCTCAGGCCAGGAGACACAGGACAAACCGAAAGGAGGGCACAAAAAGAAATTTACAAGTTTTAGCCTCAAAGAGACTTCTAGACCATGTAAAGTACTTTGTTGATGAAATACCCTAGGGGAACGATGATCTGAGAGACAAACCACTTAAGTCCTGAACTGTGGATGCACCAGTGTCTTCTTCAAAGTCCCAGGGAAACGCAAACAGCGGGACACCCTCTGCTCTCTGAACGGAGGCCAAGGACAGTGCTGGCCTCTTGCCCATCCACCAGAGCAGTCCACACAGGAGGAAGGGGCACAGGGAACAGCTACGGGACCAGCCTGCCACCCTCTCTCCTTGGGCTCACTCTTCCAGGATCCCCACTCCAGCCTTCCAGTGTGTCACCCAGCTGGGGTACACAGAGCTAAGAGGAACCCCAGGCAGGGGTCCCTCCTTCACACCCTGGCTTCTGCTAACACTGCTGCAGTCATGGGAATGCAAATTCCCACAGCCGGGTCTGGAGAGCTCAACACATGTTTACATTCTGTGAATGGTCCATGAAGTAAGACAGACAAAGCGGCTTACACCTGTAAGCTCAGTATTGGACATACTGAGGCAGAAGGATTTCCATGAGCTGGAAGCCAGGCTGGACTATGTAGTGAGTTCCAGGTCAGTCTGATCTACAGAGTAAGACACTGTTGCAAAACAAAACAAAAACAAAACCCAACAAACCCACCACCTTCCCCAGTGCACTTGCAGAGGGGTGCATGTGTAAACAACGGTGAAATCTACTTAGAAAATCCCACTAGCAAAATATGTAGGGTGGTGCAGAATTCTGAGACGCACATTAAAAACAGGTAGGTAAATGATTTACAGTACAGATTTTAAAAACAGAATTGTAAGAAGTGGAAATCCTGGTGACAAAGAAACGTCTTCTATAGAAACATCACAAGAGGCACAATTTATTCTGAGAAATCTTTGACTTAAAACAGTAGCAGCGTAATAGCACTGAGCCGCCATCCCACGGGTCACTTTCTTGTCTCGAGGCAAACAGGCAGAAACCTGTGGTGGCCATGTGCCCCTCACAGCCCAGCTGGGCTTGAGGCATTCTGTGGCATGACCTGGAGCAGCCGCCCACGGAGAAAGGAGCTATGCCAGCAAGCTGAGCTAAATGGAAAGTGATGTCAGCAGGTGTTTCCCGGGAGCTGGATCCAGGACATCTCTGCTGCCTCCAAATAGGCCAAGGATCTGCTTTCAGCCACAGGGGTGTGGCGCAGCGTGACTGTGCCGCTAAGAGAACACAGGCAAATCCTTTCCTAAACAAAGAGTGTAAATTTCGCCTTCAAAATCTGCCATCTCTAAAGCCTCTGTTGTTGTCTGTTTTATGGATTTCAGGGGCTCGGCCATAAATTACTGATGTCAGACTCTATCAACAAGGAAATACCATAGGACAAAGAGGGTGATGGGGTCATAAAGAATAAAACAATCAGAAAAGAAAAACACTGTTGAAATGAAGACAGGGAAATGCTTTTAAAAAAAGACCAAGAAATTGCATGCTAGCACTAATGGAAGCAGCCCCGGTGTCCTAACACGCATCGGGCAGGGGGCAGGCAGCGAGACAAGCAGTGGCCAACGGAGGGATTCCGCAGGGAAACAGCAAAGCCACATCACGATACTCCAACACGACCTCGAAAGAGAGGATGTGAACTTACACGCATGTATCAGAGCAGAGAAAGGAAAGACCTGCGAGTGTGGCAGGAGCCCCCTCTGCACTCACAACTCAGCTCTTAGCAAAACTGCACCCGACACAGTATTACATCTGAAATTGCACGGCGGCTGTCTGCTCCTGTCAGATGCGACGTGTGCCAGAAGAGACGGTGAGCTGAGCCGTGAAGCTGGGCTCAGACCTTAGGTTCTTCCAACCACACACTGAAACCAGGACAGACAGCAATAAAGAAAGAACACTGGCAAAGTCTTCATTTGCTTGGAAACCAATCAGCATACTTCTAAATAACCTGAGTGTCAGGGGAGACCGAGCACACTGGGACCCACAGGACGAGGACCCAGGGGTGCTAAAGACGGGGTCTGCAGCCTTAGAAAAGAAGCCTAAATCAGCAACCTAGGTGTTATCTTAAACATCTAGGAGAAGAACAAATTAAACTTTGAAAATATAAAGAAATGAAAAAGTAAGTATAAATCAATGAAGGAGAAAAGAAACATACCACAGAGAAAACTAATAAAGTCTTTGAAAAGATGAAGGAAACTGATGAAAAAGATTGCAACCTTCCCCACCCCAAAAGATTAATACAAAATTTCTTACACTAGTATGGATACATATTGTTAAGTGTAATTTATGAGTTTCTGAATGTGGGTTTCCCTCTAAATAACTCTGATGGAAACATATTTTCCATGACCTTCTGGGTCCCAGTGGAGACCAGGAGATCAAATCACCATGGTATAATTGTTGGCTCTCTCCGTGCTAATCTGCCATTGTAGGGCAGACTGGAAACACTCATACTCTAGTGACAAGAACAGTCAACGATTTACTAACCGGCCACCTCCTCCACCCTTCACTGCCAGCTGAGACCTTCGCTATCACTTCAGGTCCTCGGCTCTCCCAGGAAGGAGCTGTGAGGACAGGGAGGGGATCACTGTGCTCCATGATGACACATCACAGACACCAGCAATAACTGGGCTGAATGAACTGTCTGCTTCCTTAACAGCATTCAGTGCGATGCCCACAGTTAAGAAATGTAATCTGGCTGGGCAGTGGTGGCGCCCGCCTTTAATCCCAGCACTAGGGAGGCAGAGGCAGGCAGACCTCAGTGAGTTCAAGGTCAGCCCGGTCTACAGAGTGAGTTCCAGGCTGGCCAGAGCTACACACAGAGAAATCTTGTCTCAGAAAAAAGAAATGCAATCTGCTTGTATTTTGAACCTCGCATGAGCCGCACTAACCGGGTCTTCTGATTGGGTTCTGCTAACTGTCATGGTGTATACGACTTTAAGTTGCCCAAATGTGCTCACAGCAAGACCACTGGATCCTACGACGAGAACCACAATTCCATTTCACTTGACATTATAAACGACCACTGAGAGAAGCAGTCAACTTAAACTATTGGGAACTCAAAGGAATGATGCAATGAAGTGTCGGTTCTGTTTTAGTAGGGATGTACCTTATAAAGCTTGTGATGTACACGTGCACAAACGTCGCCATCAGATACTGACAATCGAACCTGTCCATTATCCCGCCATGTCCAGGAATGGTGTTTGCAAAATCCTGCAGAAACAAACATACAAATGTGAAATACACATCACCTGCATCAAATTCTGACATGTAAATGTCTTTTCAGTATCATAGACTTTAAAAGGAAAACAACTTTACTATTAATTTTTTCTAACAAATACAAATAAATTAGAATACAGCCAACAGATTAAAATGTTATTTTTCAACTCTCCACTCACTGTTGAATGATTTCTAAATTGGCCCACAGCACTGAAATAACACTACATATTAATTAAGTCTAGCACTTTTTCTCATTACTGTAATCTCTCTAAATTATCTCGTTTTGTAACTGCCTGTGGCCCTGCACAGTGAGCAGCTGTGTGGGAGCTGCCTCACTGTCACACAGACGCACGCGCATCTCTAACTTGTGTTTATCCAACAACCCTTGTGCCGGAACAAACACTCCAGTGGTAAGCAACCTTCTTTAAGCATTGAGGTAAAAGAAGAACAAAGCATCTGGGTCGCTGAGAACGTGCTTATCCATCAGACAGCCTGAGGAGAGGCCAGGCGGTGAGGAGAAGCCAGGCGGTGAGGTTTCTGTAGAAGAGCTCACTACCCAAACCCCAGAGAACACAAGTATTCTTGTGAACATCTGGGCACTAACACACAAGATACAACAGCAACTGCACATTCAGATATTAAAAAAAAAAAAAAAACTCTCCCTTTAATGAGGAACCTTAGAGACCATTAAAAAAACAAACAAACAAACAAACAAACAAAAAAAAAACACTGAGTGGTGGTGTCGCATGCCTTTAATCCCAGCAAAGGCAGGTGGATCTCTGTGAATTGGAGACCAGCCTGGTCTACAGAGCGAGTTCCAGGACAGTCAGAGCTACACAGAGAAACTCTGTCTTAAAAAAAAACAAGACAAAACAAAAAACCCACAATCTAAATACCTGTGACTAATTTTTCTTAACCTATTTCCTCCCTTCTCTGCTCACTGAGGTGTGAGGGAGCCCCAGCAGCCTGATCCCACTGCAAGGGAGGACAGGGCTGTTTCCCACCCTCCCCCACAGGGAGGGAGCATCCTGAGGCCAGGGACCCTGCAGGCCTTCTATATTACCTTGCCCTGACCACAGCACCCTTGGCAGGGCAGAGGCTCCCCGAGTTCATTTACTTCCCTGATGACCATCCTAAGGTCCAGGGTGGTTTCCAAACGCTGTTCCCTTCAATTCTTTTTTTTTTTTTGGTTTTTCGAGACAGGGTTTTCCTGTGGCTTTGGAGCCTAGGAGCCTGTCCTGGAACTTCAGCGAGGCTTCCCTCCCTGAACTCACGTCAATGCTCTTCCTCGGACGTCTCAGTAAGATTTATCCTCGTCCTCTCTTCAGATCTCGGCTCCAATCCCACCTCCTCGGAGCACCGTTCCCTGACCAGCACATCTTCCCCAGCCATTCTAACCCTCAGTGAGCAGATGTACTTTTACCTGGTAAGGGAGGGCGGCTGTGATGATAGGACTTTAGGATGACCCTGCTGTCCTAACACGTGGGGATAACTTTAAGTGTATGGACCATAATCAGCGAACCAACTCTCACAGATCAAATCCAACCCACAAGCGGGTCTTATAAACAAAAGTTTTAAGACTTTCACAGACATGTCTGTGGTACAAGCTTCATACAGCAGCAGCGTTCAGAGCTGAACCGCAGAGAACGTGCAAGAGTGTTCTCTCCAGCCTGACCTGACAGATTCTACCTAACAGGAGGGGCAGTTCCCGATCCAAATGCTCCTTGGCAGAACTGTGGGACTGGGAGATGCTAAGCTGCAGATGGCGCACTACTCCATTCCTCAAGTCTGAAAGCCACCCAGCACTGAGGGACACTCCATCTCCAGAACAGGATAAGACACTTCAAAGGAATGAATGTGGCACCACCAAACCTTCCAAAAAAAAAAAAAAATAGACTCAAACCAGCCAGGCAGCATGGCTGTGAGGCTACACAGATGTCAGGGGCTCAGTGTGGCCAGTGTGAGCCACACCCCAAGGACAGAGAGCTCCTATTATGCACAGAGACTGCAGCAGAGAATGTGAAACGCACCTTGATCTTAAAAGCTCTTTTGAATCCGCTGGCGAAGAAGCCTCCAAATGGGCCAATCAGGGATGCAAACGTTGACAACGCAATGCTATGTATCTGGAAGGGATACAAGCTCACTGTTTCCTGAGGAGGAGGAAGAAGAGAGGACCAGCTGCGTTAACACTGTACTTACTCATGACACCTAACCCAGGAACATGGCAGACACAGGAGGCTGAGACAGACAGCCTCCATGCCCCGTGCCGGCTCCCTGCCAGGCACCCACAGCCCCACTGCCACACCCGGCAGAATTCCAGCTCAGCCAGGGCATAGGAAACACAGTTGTGTGGGAAACGTGGGAGATTCACACACACTTCGGTTCACTCTACACTTGCTCTCTAATCCACAGTATTTTGTTCTTATAATCAGAGGATTTATTTTAATTTTATATTTTATAACACTATCTAATTTTAAACAATGAAATAGCAAGAAGTTGTCTTTGTCGCCAAAACTAAGTTGAAAGCTATGGAAACAAACAGAAATAAATATTTTTTCTTTCTTCCTTTTTTTGGATTGCTTTTTCAAGACAAGGTTTCTCTATGTAACCTTGGTAGTCCTGGAACTTGCTCTGTAGACCAGCCTGACCTCAAGTGCTGAGCCCAAGCTTTATAGGATGTAACAGGAAGCATGAATGGTTAAGAAATGTTTAAAAACAAATAATGAGCACTCAAAGAGATAAGTTATTTGTAGATGTTTCCAAAAACTTGCGGCTGTGAGCTTGAAGTACAATGTACATACGCACAGATGTGCACAGTTACTGTATGTCCTTGTTTGCTTTCTGCTGCTATAAAGGCAGGGCTATTTGACTTACAGGTTACAGTCACCTGTAGCAAGCCAAGGCGGGAACCTGGAAGGAACCCTGCTTGCTGGCTGGCTTCTCCTGGCTGGCTCAGCGACTTTCCTTACACAGCTCAGGCCCACTTGCCTAGGGACAGCACCACCCACAGTAGGCTGGGCCCTCCTCCAGCAATTATGAAAATGCCCCACAGACAAGCCCATGGGACAATCTGATAGAGGCAATCCTTCCCACGTAAAAACTAACCGGCCTACTTTTTCCCACTCTAATGATGTAACAGAGTCTACTGTAGAACATACCAAACAATCTGGGGGATGACATCTCAGGTGCTTTAAACGGTGGCAATGGAAGGCTCATTTCTAGATTTCTGTATTAATAATGACCCCGAAAAATCAAGGACTCTTTCAATTGATGAGTCTCAAGCTTTATACTTCCTCAAATCATATCAGTAACATTCATTTGTAAAAATCTATTTATGTTTAAATTTTATTTATATTTTAAAATAATTTTTAAAAATATAAACTGCTATCAGTATTTAAATCATTATGCAAATAAATCCCCAGTGTATACACATATGCTTGGAAATGTTAATAGTCATTTGATGTTTAAGATGACAAGCATACAACCCACTTCCACATATTTGGGGAAAAAAAAAAAGAACCAGAGAACGAAGTATCCCCAGACACACCGGCTAAGCCATTCACTCTTACCCTTCTCAACACTGCCTTTAGGAACGGAGGGAGGGAGTAACTCTGAAGCCGGAACAGTTCTGACGGCTCACATTCCGTCACGAAAGAGTTGACATCGCTTCGGTACTCCACTGGGCACACAAAGTACTGGTGTTTGGACAGCACATAGGCAGCCTGAAGACCAAAGCAAGATTTTGTGAGATAGTGCCCAAGCCAGAGGAAGCCAAGTGCCAGAGGGCACAGCCAGGCGCCAAGTGCCTGTGCATCGGCATTTGGCTCTACCCAGAGTTAGGTCAGGATGGTCCCAGGAGAAACTGAAAAACCTTCAGAGAACAAAAGAATTTTCAAAAGCAGTGAGATCTCCACACAACCTCAGAAGGGGCGGGGCTGATGTGATCTTAAAAGAGCCTTATAGGAGATCTGACTTTTCAATGTTCTAAGTACGCATGCACTGTATGTGTCCCCATGCCAGGGGTCTGCTTTTGGAGTCAGTTTCCCCCTTTCTCTTTTTATGTGAATGCTGAGGATCAAACTCGGGTCCCCAGGATTTGCACAGAAAGGGCCTTTACTCACAGAGCCATCTCTCCAGGCCAAGAACTTACTTTTTAAAAGTCTGCATAGTTTCTCTTAGCAAGGCCTAGACAGCGTGGTAAAGGAGTGGATTATAATGATACGGACTGTGCGGGGGGGGGGGGGGGCTTACTGCACACAGACTGTGCTAACTTCACACTAGACAAACAGTGCACAACAGTGCAGGAGAAAGGCACTGCCCCGTGCCAGCCCACAATGCCATCGGCGCAGTTCTTAAAATTAACCCTCCTCAGCCATGGCAATGGGAGAGAAGATAAAACATCTTGTTCATCTGATTCCATTTCTCCCCCGGCCACTCACTCCACTGTTTTCCTCAAGAACAGCAGAAATTCAAACATGCCGCTAGGAAGAGATTCCAAGGGCTTGTGCATAGGAATGGCAAGCAGTGCTATCACTATGGGGTCTTGTTTAGATTTCATGGGTGCAGCTCCCTGGCAAATATGAAAGGCGCTATCTTGTAGGAGATACCTTGCTTCTCTGGTTCTAACACTCTTTCCTCCCCATCTTTGAAGATGTTCCCTGAGTCTTAGGTGTAGGGATGTATTGGTGGAGATGGGTGGTCTGTCATATCTACAGGTAAGTGTGGCTCTCACTTTTCATCAAACAAGTTATTTTTGTGGCAGATGGAGATCATCACAGAATCCATACTAATCATAAGGCAGAGAATGACTATGGGTGCCTATTTAATAAGTTTTAATAAACGTATTACTAGCATTTTGTGTTTTGTAGGTTTAGAAAAGGCTAAACCCTAGCATGCATTTTCAGAGTATAAATAAAAGTAAAACCCCAGTAGAACTCACAATGAATCCAAATATGACGGTGGAGAAGAAACCGCCAATGAACCCTTCCCAGGTCTTCTTAGGAGACAGCTGAAGAGGCCGGAGAAGGTGGAGGGTTAGTACACGTACTCCTCATACGTTCCCCAATGCCCTGTGCATCTCTTCCCTTTGCTCTCATTTGAACAGCTGAAACTGCAGCTGTCCCCTGCATGGTCATGACTGACCTGAGCGAGCGTCTTGAGAGGCACCTAACCCGGGGCAGCCCCTCAAACGTGTGGTGTACTGTGATATCTACTCATCCTGCTAGGTAACCTCAAGTTCTTTTCCTTTCTTTCTCTTTCTCTTTCCTTCCTTCCTTCCTTCCTTCCTTCCTTCCTTCCTTCCTTCCTTCCTTCCTTCCTTCCTTCCTTCCTTTCCTTCCTGCTATAAGTTCAATAGCGAAAATAATTTCCTCACGCCTTGCATGCTTCTCTTAGAGTGAGATTATTAGTCATCCCATGCAAACATCGCCAGTGCTGACCCACCGCTGACCACAAGGCACAGCCGCGCAGCAGTCCAGGTGGTCTCGTGTGTCAGGTAGGCCGAGCAGACAGGGTCCCATTACGTAGCCCACTGGGTCTAGAATTCGCAACCCTCATGCCTCAGCCTCTCCACTCATAAGGTTATAAATTTGTACTAGCATGCTCAGCTCAGTCCTAATATGCAAGATATATGAGATTTCCTTCATGTATTCAACACCCACCCCCATAATCGACGTCTACCTTTAGGTAGAAAGGAACAGATTGTGCTCTGAGAATAGATACTGCGTCTGTTTCAGTCTGGCTACTATTTCCCCGTCAATGAGACATTTAGGGAGGAAAATCTGGAGGGAAGTCTGGAACTCAGTGGGGTAAGGGATAGGAGAGAAAACTCAGGAGCTGTGGTATAACCGCCCTACGCTGTCATGGAAGGTAAGCGTTCAGATGCGTATGACTCAGGGGGAAGGAATGCGTCACAGCCCTGGCTACCTGAGCTCCTTTTAGACTATTGAAGTTGAGAAACCTCATTGCTAAACTAGCTGGCAGCAATGGTTTCTTAGCAAATCTGGTGACAGTTTTGCCACAGAGAAGGAACCAATGCACCTTCTCCTGGGAACAATTCCGTGTCTGTACTGGTGCCATCGAGTGGGCTCCAAGTGTCTGCTGATTACTTAAGAAAGCGTCGAGCTGACTCACACCAGATCATAAGAGAATTGCCCAACTTCCTGGGCATATCACACAAATAACCTCCTTTGCTGAAATCACCTGAAAGGCATTCAAAAGCAGTCCCTAGGATTCCTGCACGGGTCTCAGTCTCACGCGGCATGTTAGTTTAGAGCTCAGCCCACGCAAGCATGGACAACATGCTGACTCGTTCTGCGCAGCAGCTTTAGACACAGCTCAGAGATGCATACCTTGCATGTCAGCAGCCCTGCAGCTGGGCCTGGTGCTGTGCGGCCACCCACAAGAGGAGAGCTGAGGGAGGCACTGCGAGGGGCAGGCTACCCACACGCTCCCCAGGAGCGGCACACTTCATCACATGGCTCCCGACAGCACAAGGCTAAATCAGACTCCAGCCGCTCCTCCCTAACAGCTTCCCTCTCAGCCAAGGAATGTATGTGTGAGAGCCTATTAAACACTTGGCTCAATGTGGAAACTGAATCCTACATAAAGTCCCAACATAAAAAGCTCTCTTAAAAAAAAAAAAAAAAAAAGTCCAAGGGAAAGGTTGGATTTCTCATGAAGAACTGGTTTTTCTTGCCCAAAATGAGATCTGAATAATTTAATTCATACCCTTGCCTCCACTGTCCATAAACAGAACCAAATCAAAGCAAAATGGCAGGCTGTTCACGTGTGCTTTCCTCTTTGTCTCTACCTCTTACCACTGGCTTTAGATCCTCCAGTCTTTTACGTATATGAACTTGGGAATCTTTGGAGGACAGTACATAAAGACTGTGCGCCTTGCTCTTTTAGGAAGTTTAGTGACAGACAGCATAACTAGGCTCAGGAATGCTGGGAGTAGGTTAAAGAAATGAGCCATGAAGATGAGCCCTCACAAGCAGGGGAAAATAGAGTTAGACACATGTCAGCAGAGGAATTCCTGCCCTCCATGGCAGCGCTCTGTGGCCTGTAAGCCTGTGGGAAGGGCGTCTGTCTAACATTTCCATTACCTTAATTAAGGGAGTTTTTCCAAAAAAGAATCCGAAAAGGTAAGCAGTGATGTCGTTGCAGATGACGCTTGATATTGGGACAAGGAACCTTGAAAAGATTAGCAGAGAAAAGTCTGTGTGGTTAGACAGCGAATGCTTATCCCCTCCATAGCTCAGTGTGAACCCACGTTACACCCTTTAGCTCACACAGTGGACAGAGCAGAGCACAGCACAGGCCAAGGCCTAGGAGAAGCAGAAAATACCACACACGCTCGCTCCTTTAGCCAGGAGACGGAGAAAATCTATCTCTAAACTTAGAAAATGCTGCTAAAGAAACTATTAAATAACCAATCTCTTTAGTTACACACTTTTACATTTTAGTTTTGTAAGGAATAACTTTTCAGGAACTATCGCCTCTCAAGAAGAGCAGCCTTGTGAAATGCAAAACAAGTCACTGTGCAAGCAGAGACTAAAGTGACAAGCTCATGCCAGGCTCTTAATGCAAATTCTTCTTCGGGAAAATTACTAATCTTAATTCGATTTTAGCTTATGTCACACACTGATAACTTTGCAGAACCTATTTAAATAAGCAACATTTCTCCCTCAATTGAAAGGTTTTATATGATATCCATCCCTAAACTAGAGTGTTTATACAAACACATGGGTATTTTAGTAAGCTGTCAGGAGGGTCAATTTATCCTGGCAAACTCCAGTTAGCTATGAATGATTCTAATTGCTGACTTTGCCATGGATGTGGAGGGGGAAGACTCGTGTTCACCGTCTAAATGCCTGCACAGAAAATTTATTAAGCCTTTCTCCATTCCCGTTCGTTTCTAATTATGAATCCTGGATTACTTTTAGTTAATAAAAATGCTGTCTGAATCTGCATAGCCCAGTGCTATGGAGCACCCAGCTCTGCACACACACAGTCTGGAAGCTTGTTCCTTCCCAGAGCAGAGCAGGACCTGCCCAAGTGTCCCCTGGAGAAAAGGCACTTCTCCAGCCTGCTAACTGGAAGCCAGATCCCACCTACTTTCTGCACTCCATGTAGATAACATCTAACCTTTGCTTTTAAAATACAACGCTGGGGTTTGTTAGCATCTGAAAACGGAACTCGGTTTTGGTGAAGACTTTCTGCATTTTGCTTGGGACTAGAAGAAAGGGTCTCCAGTCACTGGGTAGGCATTCTGTGCTGGGTTGTGAAACAGTAAGAGTCAGTGAGATAGCAAGTGGTCTCCATGCAGTAGTGGAAACCAGAAAGCTACTGCCGGGCGTTAGGGGGTTTAAAGGGCAACACATGAAAACAGAATGCAGCATAACACAACATAATCCCTTACCATATCATAACACAACATAATCCCTTACCATATCATGCCTTCAAACAGATTTTGGATGACAAGATGTGACTGAGTAACGGTTATCAGTAAAGTGACATGGGTCCATGCGAACTGTCAACAGCCCAACAACACAGAAGTTAGCAAACAAGGCTCATCAAACAGCCAATTAGCAAGAGCGATTTTGAAACACAAGTTTTCTGCCATGACTTCTGATCAAACTTTGTAAGATAGGATCATACAAACAAAACAGTGTGGTTAGTAAATTACACTCTTCACATTGTCTACTAAAACCCTGAAATAACAAAAACATTTAGCAAAATTATTTTAATTTATAGATAAAAGGAATGCTAATACCAGTGAGACATACTATTAAGTCTTTAAAATCACAAAGAAATAAGGCGCCATCTTGGAGCACTCTTGACAGCTTCGCTGTGGTGTGAGGAAGCTGTGCTGGTCTCTGAGAGAGCCATAGTTAGCATGCTGAAGCTGCAGTCTCTCCTGAGTTTCCTGACAACCTTCCCTGCAAAGAGTTATTCTAACTTTGAATGCTTGAAACCCTCAGGATTCAACTGCCTTTACATTCCATCTTTTCATGCTGAAAGACGATCTTTCTAATGACATAATGCAATTTCAGAATTTCAAAGCCCTGTGCTGTTTCCCTCATCACCCCTGCTTGGCCCTCAGCCTGAGGGTGGGCTGTTTTAGTGACTACAGCACAATTACTATGAGCAGAACATGACCCCAAAACAGTCATTCTGTGTACTCATCAGATAAACTGGTTTGGCAATTAGGAAGTGATTTTTTAAATAATTCAGATTTTTACTTACTCTTAAACATTATTTATATTTTAACACGATATCTTATGTTAACTGCTTTCTTCTAGTCTACTGGTATACACTTAAAGGGACCAAGCACTTTACAGTAGTTACATTACAATTCACCCTTTTTTCCAATAGGCAACTGGCCCTATTATACTTCACAGCTGGCCCTCTACATACAGTTAATCCTATACCCACAAATCCAGGAACCACAGGCACATGGATCAACATGCACACTTATTCTTTTCTTGTCATTATTCCCCAAGCAATAACTGTTTGCACAGGATTTGACTATGTTAAGTCTTATAATTAACAGGAATGATGTGAGGTGCGAAGGAGGATCCAGTGGACCACTGAGAAACAGAAGGCGCTCAAGCGTGCAGAGTTTGTCATTCACAAGGGTCCCAGAACCGTGTTCCTGACAGGAGGTCTGGTTATTTCCAACCAGTCTTGATGTTCTTAGATCTCATTAAGATTTTATTCTAGGATCGCCTGAAATTATAAATGTAGGAAACACTACAGATTTCTTCGCAATAATAATTTGTGGAATGTCTTCTTAAAGAAACGCTCAAGTGGGAAGTATGATTTGACCTGAGAAACGCCTTGCTGATCCCAGAGTTGCACCTCTCAGAACTGCATTGTACTTTAGACTTGTAATTAGCTCCGCTTTAGGGAAACGAGAAGCTCACTGTGGATCTTGCTTCTCTCCACCGAACAAACTACCCTGAGGGCAACGATGACTATGGCTGACCATAACCACCACGAAACCACATACTCTGCACTACGCTGAGGCCAACAGCCAGTGTCTAAGGACACCTTCAATACGTGACACAAACTTGCTAGGCTTCAGCAACTATCCCAGAGATGAGTTCCCACAGTTAGAAAATTCAAACTTATCATTTACATTATTTCCTTTGAAAATACCTAAAAATGTTTCAGGAACACTTTAGGGACAGTTGTATATTTTAAATCTCAAAATCTTTTCAACTTCAACATTTCGTATCTAATGAACACATAAAAAAACCTGATAAATTCTTTGGGCTCGGGTAAGACATTAACTAGCTAATTTGACTGTTACCTCTTCACTTACAGGAAGAAAGGTGAATGCAACTATGGAAAACTGTTAATACACACCATGTAAAACTGCAGGCGGTAGTGTTTCTTCACCAAGCTCAGCACGAACATGCAGAAACCTGTTCAAAAACACAAGACAAGCTGTGGGATTCTGCGTGGAGTATAAGATCCCTGAACACCCCACACACACCCAAAACCAGTTTCCTGCACTTCATCCAAGCATGTGTCAGTCATCACTCAACGACCTCTCCTACTTTACAGAGAGCATCCTAAGCAGTCTCCTGAAGGAACAATTGTGAAATCTCCCACGTGCCAGACATATTCCATGGGAAAAATTCAATCACTGTCTCCTACATTAATTAAATGAATTAGTCCCTTGCTAATATGGAAGCTGGAAAACATCTCAAGTTATCAATTTACCAAGAGCAGGCTGACAGGTTAGTGGCTGAGTGTTTGCCTAGCATGTGGGGGGTGGGGTCCGAGGCTTAATCTTCAGCATAGTAAATTCCACTACATAAAATGTCCACTGATTGAGAGTATTACAGAATGTGTTCAGTGTCTATGAGAATGAGTAACTATGGCAGCTAATGCCCATTGAGCATGCTATGTTCCTAACTCCACCTAAGCTTTTACGTGTATTAATCCAGTCCTTCCGATACCCTTGATGTAGCTATCCTTCACCATCACCACTTCACTGTAGGCAGAGACTATGCTTGCTTTTCTGGCTGCCTAGACCCGAATAATCACATAGAAACTGTATTAATTACAACACTGTTTGGCCAATGATTGTAGCGTGAATATTCCTACCTAGCTCTTACATCCTAAATTAACCCATTTCTATCAATCTGTACATCACTAAGAGGCTGTGGCCTACCGGAAAGTTTCCTGCGTGCCCTTCTCCTTCGGCAGCTCTCTGGCTGCCTACTCTCTCTCTACATCTGCTCAGATTTCTCGCCTGGCTTTGCTAAGTCATTGGCCAAAACAGTTTTCTTCATCAACCAATTACAGCAACACGTATGCAGAAGGACAATCCACATCACTTCATGAATGAAGAAAAGAGTTTGTCTCTGCACTGAGGATCGCAGAAATAAAAGAAATGTTTAGATGCTCCTGGTTCTTAAGTCACTAGGTTCCGTGGAAACTCAGGTGGCAATAATAACTTGTAGTGAACAAAGACTGACTTGAAGTTTCTCACACCAGCAGTATACATACAGTGAAACATGTGCTTTTAAGTCACTTCTCACTTCCCAGTGTCTGACTGTGTCACATACATTCACTGCGATGAAGACATGCTACAGTACCCAACTCAGGGACACTCCCCCTCATACACTAACTCGACGAGGGGCTCTCTCAGAATACCAGTAAGCTTTCAGACACGCTGCTCAGAGGTGGAGACTCAAAATGCACGAACTGAATCTGGTTGAGATAAGCCGCCATGCGTTCTGCAGTGAGCTGGGAGTGGACCTGACACAGAAACTGAGTCCGTTATCGACTGACCTGTACCACATGAGACAAACACTCGGCCTTGCACTCTGTGCTCAGTTCACCAGGCAGGATAACCAAGGGTGCATATCTCCACAAGCAAGGAATTGGCCTCTGTCTACTTTTGATACCTCACTCTACATGTCCACTGCAAAGGATCGCAGCAAAATACAGGCAATGGGGAGCTGACCAGAGTTCCTACTCCTACTTGTCACTGACAGGATCATCGGCTTGCTGGACTACAAAACCAGGAGGCCAACATGCTTTGCTGCAAGCATGCAAAAGCTGTAACAATATTCACGAGATGGGGAGAGAACTAAGAACATGAAACCCGTGCTGCTTCAGCTGCCAAGTGTGTGAAAGTCTGGTTTTAGACAGACTGCCTTATGCTTTCCTTCTGTGATGATGAGATTTTGTTTTCTTCATTGAGAATTTTGTGTATGGATGCAGTAGGTACCGTTTCGCCTTTCTGACTCCTCAAATCCACGGAAGCCCACATGCAGAAGCCTGGCACTGCAGCCATTTCTACCACACTGCACAGAATCAATCCCAAATGCACCAAAGACCTCACTCAGAACTACTATAAGGAGCGCTCTCTGAAAGTGACTTAGTGCCTGGGTATTGAGGCCAAGCATTGACAAATGGGACCTCACAGAACTAAAAATCCCATACAGCACAGGAAAGAATCAGTCAAGGGAAGAGGAAGCCCCAGAGCAGAGAATCTGTGACAACTCTTCACCTAATGAAGGATAAATACCCAAAATATACAGAAACTCACAAATAGTCCTGAAAAATAAATGGCCTGATTAAAAACTGAGCCTAGGATCTGAACAAATTTCTCAAAAGAAATAAAAAATGGATAAGAAATATCTCAAATGTGCTCAAGATCCTTGATCAATTAGGAAAATGCAAATTTAAACACTAAGGTTTCGTCTTAGTCCAGCAGAATGGCTAATATCAAGAAAACAGAGGTGGGTGTTGGTGGCAGCACACACTTTTAATCCCAGCCCTTGGGAGGCAGAGGCAGGCAGACCTCTGTGAGTTCAAGGTCAGCCTGGTCTACAGAGTTCCCGGACAGCTAGGGCTGTTGCTGGGCTGTAGAGAATCCCTGTCTTGAAAAACTGAAAAAGAAGGGAGGGACAGTGGAGGGAGGGAGGGAGGGAGGGAGGGAGGGAGGGAGGGAGGGAGGGAGGGAGGGAAGGAGGGAGGGAAGAAAAAACAGCTGACAACAAAAGTTGGTGAGGGTGTAGGAAAGAAGAACTATTGTTCTTTACTGGTAGAGCTACAAACTGGTATAGCGCTGTGGAAATCAATGTGGAAAATTCTCAAAAGGCTAAACTCAATAGAGCAGTGACTAAGACATCAAGTTTATCTAAAGCTAAGTATTTTTAAAGAAAAGCATCCTTTATAAAACTAGATATGAAAATCATTATCATTCACAACTACATGGCTATGTGAATATTTTACGCTTAAAACATAAAAGTGTACATATATAACCTAGTAACTCCAGAGTTAAGATAATTTTTACAATTGGATCCACAGTTATACCTTTTCTTGACTGAAGAATATTTAAATAGTTATGTTTTCAATTAAAATCACAGGCTTTATTAGATGACTACAGACACCAGCATTCACTAAAAAGTCAGTTAGTTTTTACTAACTTGTCACCTGGAAAGAAGGGCACTTAACTGAGGAGCTGCCTCCATCAGACTGGCTTGTAGACATGGCTGTGGGGCATTTTCTTGATTATTGATGGATATGGGAGGGCCCAACCCACTGCAGGCAGTGACACCCCTGTGCAAGTGGTCTGGAGTAGCAAATCAAGCAATGGGAGCAAGCCAGTAGGCAAAGATTCTCCCATAGACTCGGTTCATCCCTTGCCTCCAGGTTCTGGCTGTGGCTTCCCTCAGTGATGAACCATGATCACGAAATATAAATCAAAGAAACTCTTTCTTCCCAAAGTTGCTTTTGATCAGTGTTTTATCACAGCAACAGAAAGCACACTAGCACAGGTCCCTAACCCACTCAGCCATGATGTAACAGCTCTCAATGTAGTTATGTGGAGCGGGACTGGCTGAGTTGGAGGTGCTGATGCAGATATGACCATCCTGCATCCCATCCCAAGCACTCCCAAGGTAGCAGTGAAAGCCGGTTTCCAACGAACAAAACCAAGTCTCTATAGCCAAGAATAGAAGCAGATGAGATGGTCGAGCAGGTCGTGAAAAGTGAAGGAAAAAATTGAGATACTGGAAAAGCCCACACGACACAATACAGCAGATTAGACATAATACAGCAGATTTCAGAAAATGAGTTAACAGTTTAAAAACATATCAGGCATTTATAACATTCCAGGTGCAAAATACAAAAAAAAAAAATGGTGAGACAGTCAGGAGCATTACAGAGCTTACCGTCCAGCTGAAGAGATGGAAAACGGAAAAATAATTGTTTTTAAATTTTAATATTAGTGATTAAGGACCCAGTAAACATGTGGTGTCAACTCTGAACTGACCATGAGGAGGAGCCTGGGTTTGAACACGGTACTTACCAACTTCCTCCTCATTCTTTTTATACTACTTGCCAAAATCCCAACTTCTGGCATCATGTTAGGTAACTTCAGAGCACGCTGCATTGTGTGGTCGAGTCACACCCTAGACTACGGCTGAGCTGTGCACACAAGGGTTAAAGGAACAGGCAGTTCAGACTCTGATACACAGTCATGGCAGCTGAACGTGAGAAGAAAGCTGCCAAAGGAGACTGATCAATTACCTAAGGGTTTTACAGAAACCAAAACAACCACATATGACATGCAAGCAAAACAATCCTTTGCTAAGATAATACACACATGACTGTAGCTGCTGATGTCCTTTGGGGGTCAAGCACCCCAAACGTATCAACCGACATCACAGAACTTGCAACCACGTTTGCTCTCATTCCTAAACAGCCCCAACCCGAGTCATCAAGCCTGGGAGATGGTGCTCTATTTTATGCAAATCTAGTCTCTGAAGAAACTTGTACTACTTCCAGTCTTGCTGACTTTTTCCTTTGCTTCTTAGTCAAATTCTCTTTGTGACGAGATTATTTAATGTCAGGACAACTTCGAGATTCTACTCAGTGAGTTGTCTTGTATGACAGGAAGCAAGTCATTGAACTTCATGGCCTCTGATAAGGTGGACAGACCCAGAGATAGCTACATTTTTTCCAATAAAATATAATGTCAATGAATCAGCCTAGGCTGTCTTTCCTTTTTACATCAGCTAGGACATCTTTCCAAAGTCCTTTGGTCACGGCAATAAACCAGCATTTCCCAGAGCCCTTTCACACTGTCGTGTGAACGTACAGATAAATGAGAGGCACGGCTCCTATCTCCTTACACCATCTCAAAGTCCAGCTCCATCAGTCAGACTCATAGCACTGCTGACGACTTAAAGACTCATCAGCACCACAAGCAAAGCAGTGAGGCCGAGGTGACAGCGCTCAAAAGCGTCCTGTGGATCCACACGTTCTCAGCCGTCTCATCATTCAGCAAACACAAAAGGAAACTCACTGCTGGGCTCGACAGAGAGCTCTAAGAATTGACCAAATGAGAGCCACAGAGTTGGACCGAATAGCTCCCTGCTCACTCCAAGCTGCTGTGTGTGTGTGTTTTGCAGGACTGTGACAATTGTCTGTCTCCTAGGATGACACGAGAGCTTTCAGATAGCTACATGGGTAGGAACTGGGCAAAATGCAAAAGTCAAATGTTAATTCTTACAACTAGACGTGGATATATAAATTTCTCGATTTGAAAGTATATCTTAGACCAATAAGCTGGGACCCGGAGCAATGTTTCATAGACTGTCATAAAACAGTGGCTGGGCTCCCAGGACCAGCTCACTGCTCACTGTTCAGGTGCTGAGGATAAACCTGCAGGGCACAGGCTCCGCCTCCTCTTCTCTCCCTGCTAACTGCTCCCAACCCACTTCTCACTTAGCACAGACTTTGCTTTTATCTTCTCTTGGTGTAGAAACCCCATGTGGCTTCCCCGGGAGAAGACACAGGTAGGCACCAACTCTCCGGGCTTGGACATGCCATCCTCTCAGCTCTGTTCCCAGGATGAACAGCAGAGACCCGTCTACTTCCCACTTTTCATGGCACCAGACACCTCTTCTCCAAGCTTTCCAAGGTAGTCCAGCCCTCCTCCTTTGAGCAAGGCCTTCTCTTCCTGCTTCTGTTAACCCTGCCCATCACGTTTCCGCCGGGAACTGGGACACTGAGCCTCCGAGGCCTTACACAGGGTTGTGGTCAACCACTGTCCCCCATGCTATCTGTCAGTGCCGCCACACTGAGGACTTGAATGCTTGTTCAAAGAAGAACCAGTGACTTTCAAATGACTTTCGTGACCACTGCCCTATTACCATGCGGTGACCTGTCTGGTAGAAATCAGTACATCACGGGGAAAAACAACCAATGGTTATTTTATGAGATTCTAAACCCTTCACGTACAGAACAATCTGTAGAAAGTCTAAACAGAAACAACAAGAAAATCAATTTGCTGCCTGTCTCTGCTCGAACAGATGCTATTCTCAAGCATGAGGTACAGCCACCAACAGTGGGAAGGGCGGAAAGGGCAGCCTCATATACACAGACTTGTGCCTGGTCGGACTGCAAGCTGCAATCTGATACAACTACGGATCAGGAGACACTGGCGTGGGTTTAGATGTGGTACTATACAACCACCTGAAGCTACATTAACTGTAGGTGATAGGTTATAGAATAATCACATTTCATCTAAGAAAATAGGTGATGGAAGATAGGAAAGTAGCGTACAAGCTTGAATACTCTGAAAATCAGAATAACTTCAGCAAGTCCCTGGAGACCGGAAGTAAGGCTCCAAGGCATCAAAATGATCTTACTGAATACTTCTTTGTTTTTCTGAATGTTTACTACAAAATATAGAGTGTATTTTTTTTTTTTTAAAAAAATCCTATCTTTAATAAAACTGTTTTAGAATCTTGGCATGATTTTCATTTCTCCGGCCTCCTATGGAGAGGTACAGACCAGGCCCCGGTCAGCAGCGGGCACAGATACAGCCTTCCCACACTACTCAGACTCCACTGACTTTAGGAACTTTGTTAGAAGAGCTGGCTGTCCCTGACAGCCCACAGGACTGAGAAAGCAATGGGCTCTGTGAAGACAGGGGAAGAAGTCGAATCAGGTTGAAGCTCAGTTGAGCATGCACGCTCATTTCTATTCGGCCCTGGCAGTCCACGCAAATGCCACTGAAGAAATGAAGATGAAGACCAACCGGAACCAAGAGGATGGAAGGAAAACATTGCCAGACTCAACAGCAGGCAGTATGGGTAGCTTCTGCAGTCCTGAGACCACAGGGCTGGCTGGTGGTGTTCTCCAAAGCCAACACCAAAGGTCAGTGGCGGCAAGAGAAGCATCAAGGAAAAGGACTGGCGGCAGGCACAAAGCCCCAGTCATGGCGCTCAGTCATAAGGGCACCACGAACTTATGAACACAAAGTGTTCTCCTCTGTACCATCTCATAGGCCACTATTAGAAGCTTAGCTTCTGCAAGGTGGGGTGATACCCAAAAAACTGGGGGACCTGGAAAAGAACTGAATCATGAAGGCCGGAGGAGGGGCCCAGGGACTTCCACTAACCACAGTAAAAGACATGGTCTCAGGTTTTTTTTTTGACATCTAAAGCCACTACAAAAAGTTTTCCTGCTAACTTCACTAACTTGTTAAAACATTAATAAGGTGCATTCCTATCTCCCAAGGAAAGATCCCATCTCAAAACTGACTTCAGAGCAAGACACAGAGCACAGACGTGTACTGAGGAGCAGTCGGACATGCACTGAGGAGCAGGCAGCCCTGCCTCACAGACTACAGAACTTTAGGTGACCTCTCAGCAGGGGCCACACCTTCCAGCTGCCAAGAATTCAAAGAGACCAATTACCTACAAACTGAAGGAGCAGGAATATCCTAATGCCTATTTCTAAGAACGCATCTTCTGTAAACACATCATCAATAACCTTGTAAAGATTTGTTTATTTTACCGTGTGTGTACATTTAGCCTGCATGGATGTGTATATGCAGAAGAGAGACGGACAGTAGTGATTCATGATGAGCACGCTGAGACTCGAACCTGGGTCTGTGGCAAGAGCAGCAAGTGCTCTTAACCACGGAACCATCTATTAATAACATTTGGGGTGGGGGTTGGGGACAGGGTTTCTCTATGTAGCACTGGCTGTCCTGGAACTCACTCTGTAGACCAGGCTGGCGTGGCAGCCACAGAGATCCATCTCAGAGTGCTGGGATTCAAGCTATGTGCCACCACACCTGGCTAAAACTTTTAAAATTAAGGAAAGAAATGAGGAAACAGATTGGATAACAAAGCAGATATAAAATGTGGAAAATCCTTTAGGAAAACTTCCCATCCTCTCAAAGCCCCAGATGTTCCACACAGGGTTCCACGCCCTAATCGGCGGCAATGAGAAAGGCACTGGCGTCCTGGAAGCAAGCTTGCCCACAGAACACGCCTTCTCCAGCAGACTGCCTGGGTCATCCAGAGAGTGGTTCTCAATCTGTGGGTCACAACCTCTTTGTCAAACCCCTATCTCCAGAAGTATTTACATTACCATTCATAACAGTCGCAAAGTTACAGAATGAAGGAGCAATGATGCAGTTTTATGGTTGGGGTCACCACAACCCGAGGAACTGTGTTAAAGGGCCACAGCCTTAGCAAGGTTGGGAACCACCGTTCTAGACGAAACCTTATTCCCTAGGGACAATTATAAATACATATTTGCAAAATTTTCTCTGCAAATTATGTTTGATTAATACATACTCTAATAAATGTTTCAAATTTTCTCTTTTTTAATTATAAATTGAAAAGAAAAATTTCAGGAACATGGAATGCTATAATTATGTTTGCTTTAATTACCACTAGGGAATAAATGCTACTTAAGCCCACAATAGAAAAAATAATTTTATGCATGAGAAATGATGTAAAGAGAGCCCAGAACAGAACGCAACAGAAAAAAAACACACAAATGCATTTAAATAACCTAGGTAAAGACACATGTGGGAAACATCAAAGCAGGTCAGTGCAGACCGACCTCAATTTACCTGCCAGGTAGAGGGCGAAGGATATGAACCTGTGGTAGCGAATGAGGAACTGTAGCTGCTCCTCCCTCTGAACAAACGTAGCAAAGTAATCCGCCACCGTCTCTCCATAGAAGAAGTAGTTCACACACAGGAGGAAGTACCTGCAATTGAAACCCATTAGCTTGGTGAGTTTGAATGCTCTCCCCACCAAATGGAACACAATTATTCCCTGCATTTTGATGGCAAAAAAAAAATTTGAGAGATTAATTCAAAATACACTCCACAAAAAAAAAAATGCTGTTTTCTCATTCAAACTTTATTTCAGACCAGTCAACAGCAATCGGCAATTCACCAAGTACAATTCATGTGTTCAATCAAAATATAGTATCAGAGACAACAATGTCAAAATACAACAGACAGATGTTCACATGTCCATGCACGCACACACACACATACACACAGCACTGAGTTTACAATCAACAGGCAGATGTGCACACATCTTCGCAAACACAGCATTGAGTTTATAATGAAAATTAGCTCCTGGCTGCTCAATGTTCTCATGTTTAATAACTAACCCTGGAGAACACAACCTCGCCTCACCAGCTAGTTAAGAGGAAAGGAGGAAGAAGAGGTGGCTGACCATCTCCCCCATTGCTCTGCACATAGTTCTGACATTTTTCTCAGTTCTTCTCAATGCCCAGAAGGGTTCCAATCAAACAATGATTCTTCTTATTGTGATTTAGTGTGTGTGTGTTTCCCATATATTTTATTAGAACAGAGCAAAGTACTAGGAGAAAATGGCCCACTCCACCACTTTCCCCATCTCCAGGATCTTATTAAACAGCTCAGGTTGGCCTTGACCTCTCAGAATAGTCTTGACCTCATGGCCCTCCTGCCTCAGACAATGGGCAATTGAGTAAGTTGTTGTGGCCAGGATCCTAGAACCAGGGTCAAAGGTCTGAGTCAGCATACTCAGGTAGGAACTATTTAGAATAGTCTAAGCCCAGAGGTGAGAAACACCTGTTTTAGGAAGACAGTGGCTTCAGGGAAGATGTTAACGGAATAGCTTCCTTACGACCATGGAGCTAGCATAGTGCCATGTTTCCTACTCCAAAGTCTTGGCAGGGATGAATGCCTCAAATGTTAAAAATAATAATAAGTAAAGCAAAGCTACACACACACACACACACACACACACACACAAATCAAATATTTGATGTTCTCTGACCAACTGGGGAAAAAGAGAGCTTTTCATAAAATTATGATCAGGAAGGAAATAAAATGATATATATATTAATCATTTATTAGCTGTCACTACAAAGACTAAAATGAAAGCTTGAGGATCGCTGTGCTGGAGGAGGAACAAAGGTTATTTTCTCCATTATAAGTTCAGTTACAGCATGTTTCTCTTTCTCCAAAATCATTCTGCAATTAGAAACGTTAGAGATGGATTCGATTTCCCTATCCAGAGCAGTGTGTCAGTCACTCACCAACTCAGTGTTCTGAACCACGGGAGGTCATAGGAGTGATAGACTCTGTACCCAATGGTGATGATCTCGTGGAAGCACTTCACTTGGATGCCCAGAACCTGAGAGTAAAACAACAGGGTCACATGATCTCCAGTGTTTATATCTGTGCTGTGTGACTTAAGGCAACATCTACCTATTTCTAATTATTCTAAATGGCAATAGCAAAGAGGCAATATTCGCTCTTTCAAGGGAAGTGATGCCTAATGGAGCAGCACAAGGAGAGTTAAAACTAAGGCCTGAGATCTTCCCAAGAATAGCCAGGGGTAGCGAGTCCTCGGGAGGTTCCTTATTATTATTTATTGCCACGTATTCGCCATTTCTCGAGATGGATAATCTTTTCTGAGACGGGTCTCACACTATAGGATAAACTGTCCTCTCACTCCCTTCTCAGCTCCCCAGCCTCCTGTGTTTCAGGTACAGGTACAGCACAGCCAGCAACAGCTCTGGTCAGTCTGGGCAGTGTCGCCAGCATGTCCACACAGACAACAAAGCTGATCTCCATCTCTGCCAGCAAGGTGTCCTTGTGTTTCTGAACTGATGCTCTGCTCACAGCCCTTCCCAGTGATAAATCAGGGATCAAGGTGAGGCTGCTGTAATGTCTGTCCTGTCCCTTTAAGAGACAAGCCCTGCCCACTCCCTCCCCCACTCTCCTCACTCCCCACCCCCATCCACCAAGTAAGCAAGAGGATCTTTCTTTCACGTCTAGCCTGAGTCCCGTCCTTTCACTCTCTCTCCCGAAGAGGCAGCTTCTGCCACTCTCCCTTCTCCCCACTTCTTCCCTTTCCTCTCTATAACCCACTAAATAAATGCCCACGTTCTCTGCATGGTGTGCCTAACAGTTCTCTGTCTCTCACCCGCTGTGCCGCTCCCTGCCTGGGACTGGCTGCTTTCCTGGCCCACTGTGGTCTCGTGCCTGCTGCCCACTGCCACCACTCAGGGACCTATGGTATTTTATTTTTACCATAACATTTGGTGCTCCTGACTTGGCCAGGATCTCTCCATGTTCCTTCCTGCCCACAGGTGGGCCAACAGAGGACACGTGAAACCCTGGACTCCAGAACCAGTTTCTTTGCATTAGCTCTACATTCTATCTGCCTAAACACTGACTTCTACACACACCAGCACCTTCAGTGGTGAGTTTTCCCCTTCCAGTCAGCCAACCACAGCCTTCACTGCTGAGGTTGAGCCCTTCATTGACATTCATCTCTGGTTGCTTCCCATAGCTAAAAATGTGCCCAGATTAACCGGGTTGGTCCTCCCATGCTAGCACTGCACATGCTGTGTGGTGCATTCATTTTGGGGCCCGGGGTCCCTCAGATTTTTCTTTTTCCTTTCTTTTTCTTTTCTTTGGACCGCTCATGAGTAGTTCCCACCATGAGAGACTGCTCAGAGCGGCCTCTGGCTTCTGAGTCAATTGGACCGGAGCCAGTCAGGCTTTAGCATCGCCTGTAGAGAGGAGACGTCCTCCTTAGGCCCTGCGGTGTTTGCTGTTTTGTGGGTTTTCACATCTTCGGCTATGGTATAAACCCTCAAATTATCAGCCACCCGCCTGTGAATGCTCTGCTGGTGTCCCACCAGCTCCACTTTTCCTCAAACTATCCCTGACACCACTACCACTGGTCCCGCAGAAACTGATCCATGAGGCAGCTGTTTTCAATTCTAGCCTTTACTCCCCATAGTGGATTGTGTCATGGCGGCTCAGCAACAGGGCAGATCATGCGTCTAGGTCTCTCTTCCATTCAACATGTGGCTGCTGCCATTTTGATTGAGGTCAGGTGACTTTACTGCCATCTTAACTGAGAGACAGGTCAGGTGACCAAGCTGCCAAGTTCTACCGTCTTTACTGAGGTATTCCTTGCCTAGTACCCCAGTGTTAACTCTGTTACATGGGTGACCTTACCACCATCTTAACTGAGGTCAGGAGACTTCGCTGCCATCTTAACTGAGAGTCAGGTCAGGTGACCAAGTCACGCTACCTTTACTGAAGTATTCCCTACCTGGTTCCCCGGTGTTGACTCTGTTACATGATTGTTTTACACAGTGGCATGCCTTTGGAAGAGCCCACCAAAGCATCCACTTTGCCCAATTCCTGTTCACTGTGTGTGTGTGTGTGTGCGCGCGCGCGCGCGTGCATACATGTTTCTTAAATGCACCTATGTTTACTGTTAAATGTTATAATTTTCTATTCTTGTATCTCATTCCAGACTACAAAGTAAAAAGTCTCATATTTTAAACTGGTATGTACTTTTAAGTCTCCTAATCCAACCCCAATTTAAAATATAATAAGCTGTTCTCTGTTATTGTCAGTTCTGCTGTTAACCTTCTATTGTAAATTTTTCTTCTTTCTGTTTTTTTACAAGTATAAATTTTACCTGTTAAATTGAGAGCCAGTACAGTCAAACTCAGACCCAGTTCTCTAGGAAGATTCTATACTGTAGTTATGACTTATCTATACCCAGTAAACAGCCCTCATCTGCTCAGAGATCTGGGGAATATGGCATTTAAATGCTTAATTGTTAAAAAAATCTTTTCATAACAAAAACAGACAGGTTGGTTCCTAGCATCAGCACTCTATTTTCTCCAAAGAAGACAGAAGACAAATGGGCACAGAACAACAT